TGTTTCCTGTACGTGTGGCACTATTGGGCGTGGTGTGCCCGTGGAAACGTCGCAGAGTATGGTGCCCTCAGACGTACTTAGTGGTACCTCTTGGAATTGAAGGGAACTGTTGCTTTTTAGTTCTATTTCTGGGTCGGCTGTTTGTGAAGCCGCGAGTTGTCCAAGGTCGATGGTTTCCGAGGAGATGAGGTGGATGCGTGAAAGTGCATCGGCAACGGGGTTGAGCGCCCCTGAGATGTGTCTTATGTCCTCAGTAAACTGGGTGACGTAATCTAAGTGGCGTAACTGTCTAGGAGAGTATGTCTGAGTTTGCCCGTGCTGCGAAGATGAGTGGTTTATGATCCGTAAAGACGGTGAAATGGAGACCTAGCATGTGACGAAAGTGACGGATAGCTAGGTAGATGGCTAGGAGTTCGCGGCCGAATGTGCTGTAACGAGACTCAGCCGGTTATAAACGTCTCGAGAAGAATGCCAAAGGTTGCCACTCTTCGCCTACACGTTGCTGTGATACCTCATCTACTGCTACATTGGATGCGTCTGTGGTGAGCGCCAAAGATGCGTCCGTTATGTGATGGGAAACTGCGGCTATATTGGACATCGCCTGTTTTAGTTCGGCGAACGCTTTGCGAGCCTCGTCGGTGAACGAGAATTGTTTAGGCTTACCACATAGTAAACCGGTTAGGGGTTGCATAAACTTTGCACAATGGAGTATGAAAGGCCGATAAAAATTTACTAACCCATCGAAGCGTCTGAGCTGTTTAATGGAAGTTGGTTCTGGGTATTCTAAAATGGCAGTTATTTTGTCCTTAAGCGGAGAAATACCCATGTCCGAGATCAGATGACCTAGCGAATTCCCGCTACGCTCGCCAAAGGAACATTTTGCTGAATTAATGGTAACCATGCCGTGTCATACTTTCGAATAGAGCGCGTAGGTGATGTTCGTGTTCCTCAGACGTTGGACTACCGACCAAAATGTCGTCCAAATAAACGAAGGTGTTGTCCAGACCTTGACATACTTGGTCTATGAAATGCTGAAAAGTTTGAGCTACGTTTCCCAAACCGGAAGGCATACGCAGAAGCTCAAAGAGACCAAATGGCGTAGTCATACCATGTGTAAACAAGAGTCCCACGGACTGGAAGAGGGCTATATGATTCCGAGGCCTAACGTGTTGAAATTCTGCCCACGCGACTTTCAGTTTGTCTGAGACGGCAGTGGACGGATGGACCCCGTGTGACGATGTGGTGCACTATTTCATTGCTGACCTGTGGAAGAATGTTCGACGGTTTACGTAACTCCGGGAATTCGGGGAGAACCGTGTGGAACCGATCTTCTTTTATCAGTCGGTAGATGATGGGGCTGACGGATGTTTCGCGTTTAGGGACGCCTGTTGCCTCGCAAGTTGTGAGACGGTCTACAAGCTTATGGCCCAAGGGATCGACCATGCGATTGAAACGATGTAGGAAATCAATGCCAATGATCGACTGTGGAAGGTCAGCGATGATGAAAACCCATGGAAAACTACGGCGAATTCCGAGGTTCAGTGTAAGCAAACGCTTGCCGTAAGTTTTGATTGGGGTTTGGTTCGCTGCGACCAACTCAATAGTCGATGAATGGCGCTGATCGATGAGACGAGGGCAGATAACGCTAACCTGGGTACGGGGTCCACTAGAAAACGTGTGTCAGTGACGTAGAATAAGCGACTTGGCTTAGCTAAACCCGACGCGGTCGTCGCCTGGGCCGGTCGGCTTAGGCGTTTCCCTGCTTTGATGACTTGTGTACCTTCGGGCTGAGTCGCCATATTGGCGATGATACCAGCAAACGTCCGAAGAGGTGCTTTAAGACCCGGGACGTCCCTGTCGGCAACGGGATCGCGAGCGGGAGCTAGAACGCGACTGATCGCGGGAAAGTTTAAGTGCGGCTACTCGGGTCATCAACTCGTCCAAACGCAGATTCACTTGGTCGTTTGCTTCCTTTTACGAATAATTCCGTGAGTCTGGGGATACGCGGGTGACTGGTGGAGCCAACGGGGTGTGTGCGCAAATACTGTCAGCTGTTTCTTCTAGCTTGTCCAAGGTAGCTTTATTCGCGAACACTAAGGAAAGTCGCGACGTAATCTGGCAGTACTTGCGTCCAGTAAATGCTTAGCATGTTTTCGCTTACGTGTAGGCTGGAAGCCTGACTCCTCATATAGCTGATCAGCTGTGTGGGAATATGTAGCCCGTTATCCCCTAGACGGATTCCGTGCAATAGCTGTTTGAGACGGTTGTCCTCCGTCATGCTGAAACCGTTGATGATCGCATCTTTTAATGCGTCATAAGGTCTATCGGGTGGGGGGTTACATACTACGTCCCTTAAGCCAGGCCCCATGGTGCGTGGGATATGCCCCACGATTTGTGTAAATTTGGTGACTTGATCGGTCATCCTGGACAGCCGGAATTGCGCTTTTACCTGAGCTAACTAAAACTCCTGGTATTCGGGGCTGAACTCCGGGATTCTAGCCACTAGACTACTCATATGGGACTATCATGTTGCTTAGTGTTGATTTATACCCTGCATTGATCGTCGCTTCTTGAGTTTCGCATTATGCATGTGGGTGATGAGTAAATAAAAAATGCAATGTGTATACGTCAACTAAATGAAAGTCGTAAAAATGAATCTGAGGTGATAATCAAAACGACTGAGCAAGTGGAATAATCTAATGGTATTGACGAAACTAAACTGCGCGATAACTGTAAAAAAAAGTAAAAATATCACGTCGGGCTCATCAATTTAGTCTCTAGGCTAATGATGCCCACGAATTAGTACGTTTAGCAACGGACGAAGTAATAAACCAAAATTGAACGACTGGTGTCACGAAAACTCAATGACAGTTGTATTGGAATGAGCTGGAGAACAGAGAGAGAGAGAGAAGCGTACAGGTAAGTAAGCTTGCAGAAAGTGAAAGTCAACGTATCGTGACCAACGAGATAATCTTGGTCCGGTAAAACAACAAGGTCTGGAAGATGGAAAAGGTACATGAGCAGAAAGGGTTGACACTGTCACTACAACTTTGGTGGTAGACAGCTTCGCTGTCTGACCTATCGGGGCCTTATGTCGTTCACCATTCCAAGTTCCGGAGCTTAGGTTACCGGTTTCCACCACTGAACAGCAGGTCTTCGTGACTATGGGGTTCGCCCCGTCTGCTGTTCATCACACTCATGTGTGCAATAAAAAAGGTTATGTGGTATTGTGACCGGAGTTCAGTTTACTGACAAAGTAACCTACTTGATCAGTATTCACTAAAGTAGAATCGCGTATGGAGCTACTGGTGTGCCATGATGTTTTCTACCCAGGCATACGATGTGTTCCGTTCCCACTTTTTGTAGGAATCACCTACTATTCTTAAGTGAATGTATTTAGTGAAAAACGTATGAAAAATTTGCGGTAACATTCATTCGCAAGGGTGAGAAATGGAGAGTATGAGTGTGATTCAAATCAAAATCATCACGGTAACTGTAAGCGATAGGTTATTTATTCTGACGTCCTCGTTTCACACCTTCCTCTATTACTGTTCATATCTTCAGGAACCGAGTTCGATAATCAGTGTATGGTTGATTTGGCGTGGTGGCTTGTGCAGCTCTGGGATCCCACAGTCCCCAGAATGGATCTTATCAAGACAAAAGATAGTCACAATTTAGAAGTCAGAAGAAGTCCTCCAGTTTTGGTATCCGACTCCAGTTAGAGGAATAATTCATCCGAGTCACTTGGGCCACCAGTTAACCTAACCAGCTACCTTGCGGTTGGGTTGCCAAAACTTAAGGATTCGGTTGAGAACCCCAGTCGTTCCTAGCGGTTGGATTCTCACGCAATACCAGTCCAACAGGTTACCACAAAGTGGTATATTTTCAACACCTCTGAATCCAGACAGTGCCAAACAAATCATGGTACAGTAATCTTAATGAAAAGGAAAAATGTTCCATGATTTGCATATGGGCTGAATATTTTCAGGTTGCCCAGGCCAAGGCAGGTGAATTTTCTCGAGGAATTCACAACCGGGGCCTTTGACTAGCCAGTCTGACCTGCAAGGCAGCGGGGCGGTGTGTGAAAACCGCAATCCATTGGACCCGATGTCTGATCGTCTAATCGTACGTCCTTTAGACAGAGTCAGACGTCCAAGATGCCCAATATCCCCCGATACCCAATCGAGCCGGTGACCATTGCCACAGCCAAGGTGTGGTTCATGTGCCTGTTCTTGGATGGTTTGGAATCAGGGTTTTCGTCAACTCCTCTCCGGAGCATTGCTCATGTCGGGTGACCAATGACAAGGCTCGTCGTGGTGTGTTGGGTGTAGATAGTCACTCTACACCGCCTCCGATGGCTTGGTACTGTATTGCGTATGCCTGTCCATCGGCTACCTTTCCGTGCTCTCTTTGCACGTGCTGGGTGAGACTGGAAGCAGCGCTGCGGCAGTCAGACCATGACAAGACGTAGAGGTATAAAGGAGCTAACTTCAGCTTTTGCTTCGGTTATTGCAGCCGGCCTTGCAAGTTGGGGCCCAAGGGATGAGGATTGTCGTTGAAATAGAAGTAGCGCGAATGCTGTACAGTATATCTGTTGAAATACCTTACCCCATGAGGAAGATAAACTAACCAAAATATCAAAAAGTGCACGGTAAAACAAACGAGAAATTGTTATTCTCGTTATTCAACTTAAGTGTTTGACACTCTACTATGTATTCCACTCCCTCCATGTTTTTGTTTCTTTTGTTGCGTTGGCACCAAACGTGCTCGCAAGCCGGTGATATATTTTTTTAACAGTCAGTAGTATATGAATGACTACAAAATTTCCCTAGAAGCACAAGTCGGGTTTCACGGTTCTTGCCGCTCGCCAGGCATGCGTATCCGATAATCTTTTATCTTTTCATTCATAGACTTGTGCCCAGGACGTATTTATTCGTCACAATAATCTCATTTGCAACACCGGGTAAATTTTTTGGACAACTCTCAGAACCGGTCCATTGATGATTCGATGTTTTGTAGGTTGGTTAGAGGCTATTAACCCCAACAAACGCGACTTAAGCGTCTTTATGAAATATTATTTTTACAGTCAGTAGTGTATGAATAAACGGACGCTTAAGTTGTTGCGGTGGTGGTGGCGCACTGGTTTAGCCGCTGTCGGACGT